ATATATATATATATATATATATATATTTCAATTTCAATTTTTTAAAACAGTTAGTTGAAAGCTCGAAAGCTCAGTGCTGATTATATGAAAGAAATTAATTGTTGAGGAGGGCTAGTGAGCTAAGAGCTTTCTAAATTTGGAAAGGTTGGAATCTTTCATCATTTTGGGGCTCAGTGGAATGTTTTAGAGATTTGAAGAGGCGGCATTGCTCTGTGAATTCATTATGATTCTTTGTATATCGATAGTGATGGATGAAATTGAAAGGGAACTAATTAATGCTTGAATTTCCTTCATGGTCACTTCTATTCTTAATTTTATTCAGATTTCCTGTTTTTAGCTACATTGAGACTTGGAGACATCTAAAATCCCTTTTATTAAAAAAATTAAAAAAAATTATATATCCCTGAAAAAAAAAAACATCTTCATGGTATGCCTTGAGGTCCGCCGAGGTCTGTTCGTGGAGAAAATATTCTTACACGAAATTGTAATACTCGCCGTTCTCTAGATGTCCGGATGATTGAACAATATTTTTTTCGTGTTAATAACACTGGACAACTCCGGTTGCAAATTCACAATTTAATTATTGTAATTATATATATATATATATATATATATATTAAAGGACAATTTTCTTTCTAGTCATTGTAAATAATTTTGCCATAAAATTATTTGCTTGTATGCAAATTTCCTTGGAAAAATTTATATTTATTTGAATCGGTCGGTCCCACCGGTTATCTGCGGCTAATTTGAGAGAGATTTATGTAAAAAGACTCTTAATATTTAATTGGTATTTCAATATTTTCAACATGCTTAATCAATGAATCAAATATCATAAAAATTTATAGAATTTGATCAACACATTATTCTTATTTTATAAGCCATTAGTTCATATTTTCCCATGACATGAACCATTGATCAAAATATATCCCTTCCCATACATCTCAATTCAAAGCATCTTCGACCTATGAGCCCAAATATCATATCACATAAAAAATAGCTCAAAAAATAGGCCAAAATTACATCTTTTATTGACATAAATATTACAGAACAATGTTGTCAAAAATTTACAGATCATTTCTCCTCAAATTTTAATTTACAGACATACCATAATTTACACAGTTTCTTAAACACACCTTAAACATGCATTGTTCTTCTCATCCAGACAATCATTCCTTTCACAATACCAACCATACAGTCCATAAATCTTCCTCAACACATTGCAAATAATCAAAGCACAAATCCCTCCATATCCCATCACCTTCTGAACTCCATTATCATGCGGAACAAAAATCATAAGATAAACCGCATCAGTCGCCACTGAAACCCAACTCATTACTTCCAGCAGCACCTTAATCACCCAACTTAGTCTCTCTTCCCCACATATCCTGCACAACATTCTTGAACACAATGCAATAATGATGACCAGCGTCGTCTTCGAACAACCCCTGTAACTCACCAGCCTTCCTCCGACCACCAGTTCCTCTTTCCGGCACACGCATGACGGACACTCGCTGGAGAAGATGGACTTGGTTATAGCATCCAGTCCTGTGTAGTAAGGCAGAATAACTGAATCCAAATACAGACTCGCATGCAGAATACCGGAAACAGTCGAAGCTTCTAACACTGCATATCTTATGCTTCTCTGATCACTTCTGTTCTCGAATGCAAGAGCTGAAACGTGAATGAGGAGGAGGATTGAAGGCCCCATTTGTGAGAGTGGAAACAAAGTGTTGATTCTCTGTCCATTGGCCAGTACTAAGAGCATCAATGGCAGCACTATGGGACCTGAAGGCAAGAAATACCTTCTCTTCAATCTTCTCCTCCCAAAGATTTCTCCACCGGTTCTGAATTCTAATGCTGTGAAAGCTGCAGCTGAGAGAAAGGAGAGGGCAACGAAGGTGAGTGCCGAGAGGTCGATGAATGGAGGGAGGTTTCCGGCATAGGTGCTGTCGCAGAAGTAATGAAAGGGGCAGTTGAGGAGATCCATGGTTTCCTCCAGTTGCCATCTGGTGCACTTGAAGAATGTCGTTGTGATGTTCTTTGTGAACCATTGTTGAAGAAGAAGCAAGCTGGTTTCTTGAGCTATGAAAGGTATGTCATCCATCATGCAGAGTAGCTGTTTGTTTTGCTTTCTATTCATTTTGCTGCTGTTACTGAAACTTTAGCTTTAAGATGTTGTAGTACCTTGCTTCTGATAATGTTTTGTCGGTTGGAATGGTGTTGTAGCTGAAGTCAATTGGGGATTGGATGGAGAGGGAAGGTCTAACTGATGGCTGTAATGATAGAGTGCTGGCTTGTCTATTTTGCCCTTCTAGCTTGAAGAAAAGGTTGGTTGGGTGTTCATGGGGATGGGTTGCTGTCATGGCTGGTGTGTTGAGGGATAAACAAAACACTAATCAGCCTTGTTTTGCAAGGTAAGCGGATGGTGAATATTAATTATTGTTATTTGTTAAGGCTTTCAGTTGAAGTTAAGAGGTTTGGAGGGTTGGTTAGTGTAGGGAAATAGGTGGGTTTTGTTATGTATTTTAGTAAAAAATGGCTCAAGATATTGAGCAAATATTACGTGTGACAACAACATGCTCGGTCTGGATGGACCGTCGTGTGATATACAACGACTTTGCCGCATTCGGACTGTCGTCTAGATGTGTGGTCTGCCGCATGTAATATTTTCTCCAAGATATTATTTTAACATTATTACTAACTTTTCACTAGAGATAAATTCTAAAATTTTTGGACATATTTTGAAGTTTGTTTGATTTGAATTTTGATTGTTTTTTTATATATTATGCTCATCTTAAAGAAAATCTTGAGACATTGAGGAGAAATTTATTAGGCCTGGGGGCCGCATGCTCGGGCAGCTATTCACGGGCCATCATATCCTGATTTGTGGGTGATGTCGCAGCTCGTGAATGACTGTCCTAATGTGTGGACGTCTAGACCTAATATTTTCTCGACATTGAGACCCATCATGATCAAAATTTAGTCAAAAATATTGTTAACCCAAATGGCACTTTTTTTTTTTTAATCCATTTTCTCATATGTGATCATTTCATGATAAGAAAACTTATATGCTCAATTGATCCTTCACATATTTCTAAGTGGGCCATCTTCACATAATTCTTTGAATTTATAATTAAAAATATCATTTTTATTAAATAATCCTTCCTTAAGTTGTAATTATTGTTTTCCAATTACAAGCTAATTTATAATCTCTACTAAAAATATTACTGAAACAATCATTTATATTTACAAAAAAAAAAAGGATAATTAAAGAATATTTATAATTATTTCTTAAAATATCACCACAACTAATATTTTTCCACAATAGTTGCAAATCAACATAAATATAATTTAATGTTCTAGCAGTCCCATCTTTCTTTTTTTAACCTTGTATTGATTCCACCAGAAGCATTCCCCTAATTACAATACCCTTCACTTAGTCATTACCATTCAATTACATTTATTTCATTTTGAAAACTTAGTACCAATTAGACCGTGATGAAATGATTATGATTTGTGGGCCTCCTTTACTGGCCAGTTTTCTATTTTATATGGTTGTACTTGCAAATTTCGGTTTACAAATGGTCTTATTTGACATTTTATATTTTCTAAGGGTGTATTTGAGGCAGTTTGTGTATTTCATGATAAGCAGATTATCCTGAAATGCGGCCCATAGGTCGATCAAGGGGTTCGACCTGCAGCCTGTATTTAGTGTAAAATTAAAACCACGTCTTCGGATAAACGGACAAAACACGCGATCCAAACGGTACTGCAACATTTTAAAAAACGCCCCGTGCTTATAAGCTGCCCCAAATGGATACGCTATGTACTTTAATGGGTATTAAATGTAAAATTTATGCAAAAGAGCAGTACCATTGCCTTTTAAGTAGACTGAGGGGCTATAATGCAAATTATGATTGAAAATAAAGAGAAGAATTTTAAAGGTTTAAATTAAAGCGCTCACCTAACCTAAGAAAACAATTCAAAAAGTTACATTTGTACCACACTCAAGAGAAGCACATATATTACCTTCACTCATATGATTGTTAGAAGAGACTTTGAATTTTTTACATGTCTCATTATGTTATTTACAGACATTTTATAACCAATCAACCCACCAACTGATATTTGACTAAACATCAAAATATAAGAACTCTGGTTTAAGTTTCAAAATCAGTAAAAGAAAGCCACTCAATTAATTTGAAATTTGCAAATTAAGCCGAATGGAAAAGTGGATGTTGTCGTGTAGATAAGACGACCACACCCTTCATTCGGGTCAACCATGGAATTAGTCTGAATCAGAGTTGATCCAAACTCCATCACCTCTTCAGAACACAATACCTACCTACCACCCAATTCTTATGTATTTATGTGTACTGATTTTCTTTGATGATATTTTGATCATCGGCAGCTCTTCCATAGCTATTTCAGTGCATATCTCGACAACAATTTAATTTTTTGGACTTCAACGAAGCAATCCATAGTTTTTAGATCGTCCACAGAGGCGGAATACAAAGCATTATCAACTACAACAACTGAAATACTCTGAATTCAATGATTATTGGAAGAATTTTCTGGACAAAACTCACAACCTACAAAACTTTACCGTGACAGTTCCTTAGCCATCACATTAGCTCATAAACTCGTTTTTCATGTCAGAACCAAACACATTGAGGCCGACTGTCATTTTATCAGAGAACGTATCAAACTGAAACATATTCTCCTCCAACATATCATATCACAGGACCTGTTATAAACTTTTGATTAGTTTTTTAAAATAATTTATGAATATTTAAAATTATGTATATTTATTAAAGCTATAAACATGCTAAAATTAAATTGACTATATAATTAAATGAAAAAAACTAAAATGTAGTTATATTAAGAAAGTTAGTAGAAACATTAATAATGAAAACAAGATTAATTTTAATGATAAATACTGATGCGTTCTAGAAAATTTGCGGCAGTAAAGTTATGGATTATCGTCTTAGCGTTGCACGAGTATTCAACACACACTCAGATGAAAATGAATCAAGCTGTGATAACACCAGAAGTTTTTACATTAAAAACTCGTAAAAGGGAAAAACCACGGGTCTGACTCAGTTGTAAAAATATACTATAAGTTGATGATTACAGATGCTCCTTATCCTATAGGCGGAAAAGTGTTACTAGCATTATAAACGTCTGGTCAACTCTGGTTGACGGAGGTCGGGGGTGATCGACGGTAGTTGACGACAATCGATGACAATCAGCGGTGGTCGACGTAGGTCAGCGGTGGTTGTCGACGGTCAGTGGTGGTGGTCGACGACGATCGACGATGGCGAGAATGATATTTGATTTGAGCTCATTCTCAAAGCTTCAAGTTCTCTCTTAAGCCTCCTCCCTTTCATGCGAGGGGTGAGGCTCTATCTATAGTGTTTTGAGTGTAATTAATGTATGAATATGAACCATTTTGATCGGACGGTCAGAAGAGCTTCCTTTGATCAGATGACGTTTGATGGATATTTGAGTGCCTTAACGATGTCAGAATTAAGTAATATTGGGCTCGTTGGGTTTATCTTGTCGAGACGTTTGATTCGACAATGAACTCGCTAGATTCGACATCCGTTTGCCCCTTCAAATGCCTCTGGAAATCCTCCAATAGTGGTTTAATGATTTAATCCGGGCTTGATTTGACTCGGATTGGACTGACTTTCATATCATTAGGTCCGTCTCATCGAGCCGATCAGTTTGACTATAAGTTTGCTGAAATCAGAGCTCCGATAATGAAAACAAGATTAATTTTAATGATAAATACTGATGCGTTCTAGAAAATTTGCGGCAGTAAAGTAATCGATTATCGTCTTAGCGTTGCACGAGTATTCAACATACACTCAGATGAAAATGAATCAAGCTGTTTACATGAAAAACCCGTAAAGGGTAAAAACCACGGGTCTGACTCAATTGTAAAAATCCACTATAAGTTGATGATTACAGATGCTCCTTATCCTATAGGCGGAAAAGTGTTACTAGCATTATAAATTACAACGTCGACTGACGACGTCTAGTCAACTCTGGTTGACGGAGGTCGGAGGTGATCGACGGTAGTTGAAGACAATCGATGACAATCGGCGGTGGTCGACGGAGGTCAGCGGTAGTTGTCGACGGTCAGTGGTGGTCGACGACGATCGACGATGGCGAGAATGATCTTTGATTTGAGCTCATTCTCAAAGCTTCAAGTTCTCTCTTAAGCATCCTCCCTTTCATGCGAGGGGTGATGCTCTATTTATAGTGTTTTGAGTGTAATTAATGTAAGAATATGAACCATTTTGATCGGACGGTCCGAAGAGCTTCCTTTGATCAGATGACGTTTGATGGATATTTGAGTGCCTTAAAGATGTCAGAATTAAGTAATCTTGGGCTCGTTGGGTTCGTCTTGTCGAGACGCTTGATTCGACAATGAACTTGTCAGATTTGGCTTTTGTTTGAGCTTTCACATGTGTCCAAAAATCTTCAAAGAATGGTTTAATGACTTGATCTGGGCTTGATTTGACTCGGATTGAACTAACTTTGATATCATTAGGCCCGTCGTATCGAGTTGGTCAATTTGACTATAAGTTTACTGAAATTGGTGCTCTGGATGAGTTTTTATCAATATTTAAATGTTTTTTGCTCAAAATATCGTCTCGAGATCCGTGTTATGCTTTGAGATTCATGCAGGATAATGAAAACTTGTTGGTGTAGTATCATAGAGATGATAATCAGTTGTTGACAAGTGGGCATTTGTAGAGGTCATAGAGTTGATCGTGAACTATTACTATCGATATCCAAGCTCTTGCTAATTGATTCCTATGAAAAAAATAATTAAAAAAACAAAAAATAGAGAACAAGTCCCGTGTCCTAATTTCACATGAAGATGTCACAAACAAATACATAAATGACAAAAAGAAAGAAAAGAACAAAATTTGTACTAAAAAATCTCGAAAAAGAAAAATAAAAAGACAAAAAAACTGAAGGAATTTCAAATGAAAAGTGTTTTTTTTAATAATTAGCATTTAATAATTCAAACTTCTTTTGACCCTTTAAATAGGGGTCTGAAGGATAGGGTAGAGGTGGAGTCCTCAG